TTAAGGTTAGCAACTCTTTGTAGTTACTATAATAAAAACTATTAATAAAGATATGAGCAAGGCCTCACCTTAATACTAAAAAATTAGTATAATATAAAACTTTGACTACCTCTTTCTCTCTAAAATATTATATAATATCTGTCAGTACACTTAGTAATATATATCAATATATAACTATAATTAATATATATTGTTATCAATATATAACCAATAATCAATATATATTATATAAAAAAATTAATTACAATTACCTCTGCTGCTAGCAATCGATGCAAATCTTCAAAAAAAATTTCCTGATATTTGTATATACTCCTTGTATATTTTATATATTCCTTGTATATATATGAAATAACGCATATTTGCATATTATTTTGAGGAGATACACGTTATTTCGAGTATGTACATGGGGTTATTTTGAAGCAAAGGATGCATCTCAATCATTGATAGTAAATATCAAGATGATTATTAATATTAGTATATGGAGTATGCGTTATTTCAGAACACACATGGGCATTATTTTGAAATCAAATATACTATTTTAAGGAAATGCGATTTTTAAAATAATGCCTATATGCATTATTTTGTGTAAATATAGTATATATGATTATGGGCTGAAATATAGTATAAATTACCTCTTTTTACTAGCATTATACCAATTTTTGGCCAGAATTATACTAATTTTTGGCCAGAATTATCACAGAGGGACCCGTGTATATATATATATATAGTTATATATAATACTATTTTTTACCCCATTTTTTAGAGTATATACCCAATTTTTTAAAGTATATACTCTATTTTTAGAGTATATATCACATTTTTTAGAGTACATACCCATTTTTAAAATATATTTTATATCACGTAATCTCTATTTTTAGGGTCTAGGATCCTTTTTTATGTTATTAGAATCTATATGAGCTTTTAGAGTATACAGCCTATTTTTTAGAGTACATCCTCCAATTTTTAAGATGCATACCCTAATTTTAGGGTAGGGTAAGCTATACTATATTTAAGCCTGATTATATATAATTATACATAATTATGCATAATTATATATAAATATACAAGAGATATATAGAATATGCAAGGAGTGCATACAAATATGCAAGAGGTACATAAAAATACAATATTTATAAATTTATATTTTAGATTATATTAAAATTTAAAATTGTTAAATAACTAACTCTGGGATCCCAGAATAGTTTATTACATATTCTGGGAAGAAGATATATTCAGCTGATAAATGTCACTTCCCTTACAGTATAGCTAAGGTTGATAGTTAGAGGTTAGGATAAGGTATATTATATAGTAAAATTTTGTATAAATTTTTTTATTAGAATATTAAAAGCTATTTTATAAACAAAATTTTGAGATATTATTAACTTCTTTAAAAAACCAAAAATTTAACATTACACCTGATCTTCACGTTATTGGTAGATTGTTAAAGTGCGATATATAAGTGCTTTGCATGGTGCGATGTCTAATTAAGTTCTATATTTTTTAAAAATTTATATATAAAAGTGTGCAGGGTAATAGTTAATTAATTAAAAAATAGGATCTTTTTTTAGAACCCTACCTTTTTATCCTACGCTTTACATGCGGTTAATTTATAAAAGAGAGGAGTTTTTTGGTGTCACATTAAAAATAGTCTTTTTAAAACCCGTCTTTTATTCTACACCACTATTTTTATAAAAAGTCCCTAATCCTAACATATAAAATAAAAGTAATAATATATAAGAGTGTAAAATAAAAATAAGGTTCTAAAAAGATCCTATTTTTAATATACAGTTTATAAGGTTAACGGTAATTATAATTTCCAACCCTACTCTAAACATTAACATTTCTCATTCCTTATTTTTGGATAATAAATAAATGTTTTATATTTAGCAATAGCGTAAGTACATTATTCTAATAGCATTTCCTATTTTGCCGATTTTTAATAATAAAAAATGTTTTATGTTTACACATTTTAATTCTAATTCCATTTCGATAAAACTTAATACATGCAAATATAATTCACCAAATTCAGCCGATTTGTGAAACAAATGAACGCCTTATATTTATCTCTTTCAGCTCCAACTTTAATTAGATAACAACATGTAGTCTTCAATGTTTCCTAATCCGACAGATTTTTATAATAAATTAAGCATTAACACTGCAGTACATATATAAGTGTACACAGGTGTTTGACGGGCTTCAGATTTCATAAATCTGTAGTTATGTAGCTTCTCAGTCTCTTCGTTCATCCTCGTTGCCTAATCGAGAATCTAATATGAATGTGAATTTAAAATACGTTTTAGCAGTATCACAAGACACAATTTAATTTAAAAATGATCTTATTTTTCGCCATGAACACTTTTGATGATTATAGTAACGCTAATAAAAAACCTCGAAAACTCGTGATAGGGCCCATAATGATATTTTTTTATAGTTTGATATCATCTAGATGATTTGCTTTTTCAAATAAATCTACATGCTTAAACATATATGTGTAAATGTACACATAACTTGTATCATTATACAAAGATAAAGCATTAATAATTAGCTATATAGTAAATTAAATCGATTTTTTAGTTTTTCTAACACTGTATCAAATATAAACTATTACAATTTATTTAAGAAAGTCTTACTGGATATTAAGATATAATGTGTAAAAAAAAAAAAAAAAAATTTTAAATAAGTGTATTGATTTTGCAATTACACATTCTAATTGATGATGTTTTATTCGAAAATAAAATTTATTGTGTGTACACCTACACATCTCACTAAATTAATTAAGCCAACTTACGAAAGGAATACATTAATATTTTCTAAATATAAAAAAAATCAATTTTTACTTTATGATTTATTTTATTGTCTATTTGCTACTCTTTGATAGATTGATTTTATTGTATATTTGTTACTCTATGATAAGTAAAAATCCTGCTACTTAATTAATCTAAAAATTTAGCAGCCTCATTCCACAATATTCTAGGATCTCTAGCAGTTTGATCATTGTAATGAATTCTATGTGTAGCAGGTCTATATAAGAAGTCTAAAACTTTATTTTTTTTGAGAGTAGTACTATACGCCTCAACTGCAGTAAATTGAAGCTCGCCTGCTAACGGAAAGTCAGGGATACCATTGATTTTAATAGAGTTATCATAAGAAAGAACTTCCCCACCGACAAAAGAGGAAAATGATAAAGAAGAATTATAGAGACCACCAACAGCGACAGTTGGAAATTGTCCTATCTCGGCTAAACATTGAGATACTTGTGCACAAGCAGATCCACAAAATCCATTAGTTAAAATTATAGTATTGTTTTTTGTCCACCGAAGTTTTGGCTTATTTTTAATTATATCTACTAATGTTTTATCAAGTTGAAAGGTAAATTTGTTAGAATATCGTGAAGTTGTACCGCCTCTTTCGATAAAGTTGTTGCCTATGAAATCTTTTATACTAGAAAATTTTTTTCCAGAGGGGAATGAAAGAGAATCACTTATATCGAGGAGGCCTCCAGGTTTTAATGTTGGCTTAGTAATATTTGTAATCTTTATGTCTCCAGGAAAAAAGCCATTTGATTGAAGTAGGAGTGCACATATGACATTGGCCGAACCAACAAAACCACCTGAATTATTTGATAAATCTATAACAAGCTATTAAAAGTAAAAATTAATTTACGTGACGAAAATTATATATTATTACTTTGCAAAATTTTTTTTATACCTTTTTAGCATTGTTGGATAAGGATTGAAGACTTTCCTTTATATTAATTAGTTGAAAATCTTGAAGACTTAAAGTTCCAATTCTAGCAACACCAATGTCACCAATCAAGCGAAAATCAAATGATTCTCCTGAACTTACTCTTGGGTTATCTTCTTGAGGTAAACAATTTTGTTCAAAATAGCTTTTAGTATCATTAAAATCACTGATAAACTTGGAAACTACACTCCATTTTCTGACTATAGAACGTTGTTTTCCAGAACAAGATAATTTATAAGCAATATTAGGGGTTTCTGGTAAATCAGATCTATCTGCAAATTGATTGGAATCCACAGCATTAGACCATTCACCAAAGAGTTTAGTGAGCGAAGCCAATGCTAAATTAAATCGGACACCCAGATCTCTTGAACCAACGACTGTCTTATTAGCAAATTCTTTGATTACTTTTAGCGCATTCTGACCATTTATTTCTATTACTTCGCAACCCTTATTTGATGGTTCTGAATCGTCCTCCAAGATCTAATTGTATAAGACTATTTAAAAATAATATGTTTGTATACTAATCATCGTGTTAACATAAAAGAATATGTACCTTGATTTTCTGTTATTACGTTAAATAAAGTAATTATCAATGAGTTTTCGAAATAATTAACATTACTCGCATAGAGTTGTTACATTTACCTGCTGATTATTATGTTTGATTGAATACAGGCTTAAAGATTGAGAAAATGAAAATTTGTTATAACAGTTAATATCCAAATGCGTATGAGCATCTTTTAATTGTGAAATTAAGTTTCTTATTATCGTCTAATTATTTAAAAGACCACGGTTTAGTATTTTACGAATATCAAAAGTGGAAGAACATTTTATTGTACAATCGAAGACCAATATACATACTATGAATTCAAAATCAGACTTATAATGTTTGTGACGTAATAAATTTAGTTCTTTTTTCAAGTCTATAGGTTCAAAACTGAAACCATTTTCTGGTGTTTCTTTAGCTTGGTCGAAAAAAATATAAAAATTTGACATAATTCCGTCTACTACATCAATCACCTTTTATGAAAATAATTCATATTAAGATATACACGTCCATACATGCTAAAATATTTCTCAATTGAAAAATATGCTAATGATATTTACTGGTTTTGCTCGTTTATCATCATACTTGATTCCTTCATAACACGATTTAACATCTTCATAACTAGGTGATTCAATGTTTTTGGCTAATTTCGCGCATCCATCTTTTACTTCTGATCGTGGAACGAAATAAGCTTCTGAAGCCAATAATAAATAAAGGATCGATAATGTAATAAGAAGTGCAATTTTATTAAGTGTTTTAAATTTTGATGTCATTATGATTATTATTAATTTTTGAAAAATTTCTACGTATACAATTTACCTTTTAATAAATTTTTTCTTAACAATTTATATTAAAGCTACAAATCCATTGAGTAACTCGAGTTAATAAAAGTTTTATTAAAGATTACCGTTTTTTATTTTGCATCTTCGTGATCTCTGGAGATCTTCGGCAAATAAGTTAATAGTATGGATGTCAAAATTGAATTATTGTGTAATGGTCTTTTTATGATGATTTCTCGAAAATTTATTTTTGATCCTTCAAATTGAAAATTTCTTAGTTAAACGTTAGTATATGTGCACAGTATTGATTGATTATTTGCACATTCATGTAATACGTATACAATTTTTATTAACAAAGTTTATTACCATTTGATATTAGGTAGTTTTATTAATAAATTTTGGAGAATAAAAATATCTGTGCATATACACATAATGTACGAATAGAAATTCTCCTTCATACTATTATTAGTTTTTAAATTGTTTTTTTATATTACTGAGCCATCATGAAATAACCCCCTGGGCGTTATTTTGAGATACAAACTAAGAATTAATTTAGTGAGTACGAACAATAATTTTGAACAAATTTTGGACTAAATTATGAAAGAAATCACGTGACAAGTGTGATATATAAGTGCCATTAAGGAAAAACCTGTTCATTAAAAATCTGATCAACTATGCATTATACGTTACGTATAATATTCATATGAGTGCCTCCAAGAGAAGATCTTTAAATCTTACTATATAATATTTACAGGTTTTCTCTTGGCAGTACTCATATCGTTATTGAGTCGATTTAAGCATATGAAAGATCGTGCAGGTGCACCAATCAGATTATTTTTCAACGATCGATGCCATCACTTTTTTCAACAAAAAAAATCATCGACAACGCGAAATTTTGAATATGAATCACTTTCTATGCTCTAATAAGAAAAAAAATTCCTTATAAAATTTGGTATAATTATACTCTATTGTAATATCTATCCTAATCCTAACGTGAGGCTTTAATGCTTTAAAATATTTCGTATATTAAAATTGGTTTATTATTTAAGAGATCTTATCGGTGCACATTTTGAGGTAGCTTAGGTAAAATGGTTGCAGAAAATGTCGCGAAATATGTGATCACCGACCATACCTACTCTATAATTGTTTGCGTAACTGATACTCTAGCGCCAGACTATCTAGCGCTAGAGTAAAAAATTATCGGTTATATAAACGATTTTATAGTAGGTATGGTCGGAGGTCGGTGAAATTTTTTTTATCACCACTTTGTTATCTGTAGCCTTCGAAAATCGGATACGTTAAATTTGTTTAAGTAATGATTTTATATTGATTTAATTGGTTAATATTAGTCGACCAATATCGGTATATGACTTATCGTTAGGGTGTGTAACGGCCTATTAAAATCAAACATAGGCAGGGTTACATAATAATGATCACTAATTGCGGATTTTCTAATGGAATTTTGGTTTTACCGATAGTTATAATCCCGACGCTCAAGATCCCGAAAACAAAAGCAACCCGAATTGAATAATCAATTTTTTTAAAAATGTTTTGCAAAAATTGACCCAACTCAGTAATAGAAACCAATTTATTAAGTTTGTATGACCTAATATAATTATATTGTAAATCGAACCCCACATTAATATAATTATCGCTATAAATTTTACTAAAATAAAATTACATTTTTTGAAATAAATAATTATGCTATTTTTTTAAAAAAAAATTGAAGCTCTAAACCAGCTTTACATTGAAATAGAGCTATTTTTTTAATCTTTTTTTTAAAAAAGTAAAAAAAATGCTAATAATCGAAACCAAAAACACTAATTATTAGTGTTCTAAATATTTTTTATAAAAATATTAAAAAAAAAATAGCTCTATTTCAGTGTAGAGCTAGTCTTGAGGTTCAATTTAAGAAAAAAGTATTCTATTTAGTTAAATATTTATTTCAATAAATGTAATTTTTGTTTTAATAAGATTGATATGTGTGCATCGATACTCATAAAAAATCCGCAATTAGTGATGATCATTAGTAACCCTGATTTTAATAGGCCGTTACACACCCTAACTTATCGTACCACTTAGAGATGGGCATTCTGCATTATGTGCATTACATTATGCAAAACATAATGTCGCATAATGTAATGTAGATATTTTAAAATTTAAAAGTGCACATAAAAATTACTATATAATTTTAATGCAACAAAAATTAATAAAATATTATATTTTATATTATATGTAATACTAAGTGATATGTAGCATCAGTTAGTGATTTCCTACCTGTATAAAGCAGGCTAACTAATATGAGGCTTGAAAAATGCCATAAAATAGTAAACCTCTGTCTAGAGATAAGAAAGATTGGGTATGAATCTTGCTTCTTGATGTTCGTAGAACACCATGATTACATAATGTTGCATGCTACATTATGCTGCATTATGCAATGCAGAGCCAAAAAAATATGCATTCGCACATCTCTAGTACCACTCTGATAGATAAGTTTAATCACGTTAACTGGAAATTTCGGGTACTCATTTTTCCTTCTCAATGTTGCGAAGATAGATCAAGGTATTAACTGACGTATAAATAAATTTTTTGCTTTGCACAAATTATTATTCTCTTCGTTTTTTATTAGCTTCTATTTGTTTCTTTAGGAGAAATCTCACCTGATGATTATGCCCTATGAAAAAAATTGGTCAGTGTTGTGGCACGGGTTGGTGTCGGAAATGCACGAAATACATGTGACACGTATAAGCACATTTTATCCCTTACACCGTCAGGCTAATCCGCAGTAAATATAAAGTCCGACGTGGCTTAAAAGATAAAAGTAAAAACATAATAAATAAATGTTATGTACGTATTAAAAAAAAAATGTTTATTATGCCTTAAAATAGTCAAAAAAATAATAATAATTTAATTATTACGCATTAAATAGTCACGAAAATAATAATTTAATTAGAGTATTGATATTGCCACCCCCATTTTTGTTAATGTCACCTCCCAAAATTTAAAAAGTGCTCTGGAAGAGGTATTGTTATTAAGAAACCTCTTTTTGGCCTTAATAAAAGTTGTTCATCAGGCCTTTCTGGTTCTAATGGTGGTAAAATCATTAAAATCGGACTGATAGTTTTTTTTTTTTATAAGAGTTAACTAACTTCGAATATAAATATTTTATGAACAACTTTTATTAAGACCAAAAATAGAGTTTTCTTAATAACATTACCTATTCCGGAGCACTTTTGATATCTGGAAGGTGGCATTAGTAAAATAGAAGGTGGCAATATCAGTACTCTTTAATTATTACACATTAAATAGTCATGAAAATAATAATAAATTTTTATTATGTATTAACAATTTACGAAACAAATACTGGTAATAAAAAATTTATTATTATGATCATATTAAATATTAAATATGCAGCACATGAATATTTTGCTTTGCAATATATATTAATTGAACAAAAAAAAAATTCGCCCTTATTTAAATATCTAGTTAGCAAGTTTCGCGTTAATCAAATACAATATTTTAATTTATCGATAATATAAACGTACAGTACAAGTAACAAATTAAATAAATTATTAATTTATTGCAAAATTATTTATCGTTAAGAATTATTTAATTTATTGCTATTTAAGAAATGCGTATTATCGCTAATATTTAACATAAATTGATTGCTAAATAATAAATTATTCATAATCATATAAATCTAAGCCAAACGTCGGAATTTAAACTCTCAATATTGTACAAAAAATTCGCAGGCAAATTGCCTGCGAGACATTGTAAGGGATAATTTAAAAATGATACAGACATTTACGGCAGGTACAGTACGTATTGGATGTACGCATATGTATGTTGTAGCAATTCTTGAATGTGTACTGGGTTTATGGTGCAATCAAAATTCTTTAAAGTTCGTTTATGTTAAGGTTAGGGCTTTTATTGTGGTTAGAGGTTATGAGAGTATAGTAAAATTACTCAAGGAAAGCTTTTTGTTAGTGCTCGAAGAGTACAGTTGTCCTCTACAGTCACCTCCTATATACATTACAAAAATCTTACATTTTTGCGATAGCATTGAAATATTCTAGATCTTGTATAAATTAGTATAAATTATCAAGTTTATAGGTCACCAAGAGGAATGTTTCATAGTAAATCGCAAATTTAGTTTCTTACTAGCACTATTAACGAGGTTTTTTGACGAAATACGAAAATTTGGTAGTTTTTCAAAAAACCTCGTTAAAACTCGTTAATAGTGCTAGTGAGAAACTAAATTTGCGATTTACTATGAAAAATTCCTTTTGGCGATCTATAAACTTAATAACTTATACTTATTTATACATAATCTAGAATATTTTAATGCTATCGTAAAAATGTAAGATTTTTGTAAAGTAGTCACACCTTCTATATAGTCACACCTCTTTATAAGCACCATTTTTTGAAAAATTATTGGCAATTTATTTAGGGAACGCCTATTTTCACCATTGAAATTTGTTATTTCCACCATGCTTTTCATATGATTTTCAGTTACTTAAACATGACGAACATATTGCCATGAAAATTTACGTCAAATGGCGGAAATAGTAAATTTTCATGGTGGAAATAGGCGTTCCCTTTATTTATTCAAAAAAACTTTATATAATCACAATACTATTAAAATTTTATAATCACATCTTTTTTATGTAAAACAAACCGCGTGATTATAGAGGAAGGCGACTGTAGTTTTATATGCAATTTTTCAAGAAATAAGCAATTTTTGACAAAACGGCCGTTCGTTTTGAATTTTCCTGTTCGTGTTACATTGCACCTGACCTTGAAGTTCAGGTAATCTGCACCACAAACCTGGCACACATTCAAGAATTGCTATCGCTATGTTGTATGTACATGATGGCACGTCTTATTACTCGCACCAACAATGCCAATACCGTGTCAAATCGCCAATTGGACTAGTAAAATTCACAAAACCCGAGTCATTAACGGTCCAATTGGCATGGGCATACGGTCCAACA